TGGTCCCTAGTACCTTAAAAATTAATTTTTTTCAAATTACTATCTTGTATGAAATTTCCTGGCGCATCTTTTTTCTCATCATAAATTTTTTGTACAATTTTTAAATCAATATACAACTTTAAAAAAAATTTCGTTGGTAAACGTTGTGTACTTCAGCTTTGTGAATTGAATTTTCGAATTTGGAATTTTAAAGAAACTTATTTCGAAATTTGGAAACACAATTATATAACTTTGGCAAAAATGAGAAAAAGAATTGTCAATATTTGACACGTCATAAGATTACTATTCAAAAAAAAAACACGTGAAATCAGAAAAGGCCAACTTCAAGTTAGGACAGAAGGACAGACCAAGCATTTTATTATTAAATATAATTACCAGATTTATAATTTTTTTCAACTTTTTAAGATTAAGTAAAAAAAAGTAATTTTTTAAATAAATACCACTTTTTGGATCAATAAAAAGAAAGTCAGAATAAGTTTTCTCTTCAAATATATAGCAATTTGTGTTTCATTATCAAGGCGCAGTGTCTTTTCTAGTTGCTTATGCTTTATGTCTTATTTCTGAGAAACTAACTCCCAAGGGACACAACGGAAGTAACATTTTATAACCTAGCCCATCTCTTGTATATATATACTATACTTTCTCACTCTCCAGCGTCTCATTCTTCTTCTGTTCGTCTCTTTATCTTCGTTTCGTCCTCTCATGCCTTTTACCTTTGCAAATTAGTATTAACTATTTCCCTAAGTTATTAGTCTTTTGAGCACTGTAACTCAATACATAAATGACATTTCATTTTTATAGATATTTATTTTCCCTCCAACAATATCTGATTTTCTTCAATTTATCAAATGTTTTTTATTTTTCAAAAAATTTTTTTTTTTTGCTACTAAATTAAATTATTAATTTTTTTTTCTATTTCCTAATTGAATTTATAATTTTCGGTAAAAATTAATTTTTTTTTATTTCTAATTGTATTTTTTTTTTATTAAACTTAAAACAATAAATTTGCAATTAAAAATTTTAACATTTTCAAGTCGTAAATTTACCCAGGGGGCTTTATATGAGAAGTTGGTTGGATATAATTTTTTTTTTTTTTTTTCCCTCACACGCCCGGATATATTATTCTCGGCGCCCTATAGTCCTCATGCGAAAGCCGCGAATGAACTTTTTCGCAAAGATTTAATTGAACAGTGGCTCCGGCAGGAAATTAATTCGTTGAGTTGGGAAGCATTTCCGTGTTTGCATGAAATTGGTCCCAGTCGTCACATTTCAACTTTGCTCGAAAGTCCTGATCTACTTATTCACTAGAATAAGCTCCACTTGCAAGCTTTCTATATATAGTCCCCGAATCATTCATTTCTCGAATATATTAAATCTACTTTTTTTTTTGTCACACTACTTTTGTGAGATTGTTTAACTTATGTTACAATTTGATTTTATTTTTTTTTTAAAGTAGTTGATTTTCTCCAAAAAAAAAAAAACAGAAAATCCCAATGTATATAAAATAGAGGTGTATAACCACTTCAGCCAAGCTTTATGAATTCATGGATTACCTCTGGGAACACAAGTTGAGTCCAACAATCTTATTGTTTGTCGAAAAATATTATTAAACTGGAAATTTTGCGAGCAATGAAAAAATGATTTGTCAATTATTTTAATATATAAAACAATAGTTTTTTTTTATTTTAAATTATAAAAAAAAATTGATAATTAAAGTATAATTTTTTTTTTTTTTATGTTGACAAATAAAGAAAATAAAAAAGTATGATAGTGTACATACCTAAATCTAAATTTACCAAGATGGCAAAAAAGTAATACTATCAGAGCGATATGAGAAGAAAAAGAAAACAACAAAAAGAATCCAACAAAAAAATAAAGGAGGCAAAAAAAAAAAAATATCTCACTTAATTAAAAAATCAACGAAGCATTAAAAAGATCGGATGTAAGATAATCGAATTAGGTAAGATTCTAAGTAAATTTTCTTCATCAACTCAATTAACTTGTAATGGACTCATTCCCTTTTATCTTTCTCTCTGTAACCACGCAGCACTTTCCTGGGGGTATCTCTTATGGAGTGTCTCTTCGATTTTCTACGTTAGGTATATATATATATATATATATATATATAATAGCAATACTCGTCTAATAAACGCTCAGAAAAGAATCGTCGTCAACTTTAATTGCATTCACTGTTGGATATAATAGATGACGGATAACACAATTAACCGCGTCTCTCTCTCTCTCTCTCTCTCTCTCTCTCTCTCTCTCTCTCTCTCTCTCTCTCTCTCTCTCTCTCTCTCTCTCTCTCTTCCTTTTTCTCTCTTACTCTCAATCTCTCAATCGAGCACATAATTTTTGCAGAATTTCTACTAATGAATAGTACATTTGTGCATAAAAAATTCATCACTACAGACTCAAATAGTCGTTAACGTAGAAAAATTAAGAAACGAGATTTCCGTAATTGCGAAACTACATTTTTATTATAGAAAAAAAATTTCCGGTTTATATATTTATACACACCACTTATCATTAACTTTAGATTTGCTTTTTATAAGATTTTTTTTTAAATATCGCAATTGATTTTTTTTTTTATAAAAATACAATGAATTTTATGATTGAAATAAAGAATTTCTGATAAATAAATAATAAACATTGGTATTTACTACTAAGGGGGAAAATAAACAAATATAATACGTAATGTCTGACTAAATATGACTTTTACTACTGAAATTAGTGTTAAAGAAATTTAAAACGTTTTGTCTGACTAAAACTATATTTTACTACTCAGAGTAAAAACATTTTATTTAAAAATAATAATTTTTATTATACTAAGAGGTAAAATAAAACAAAAAGAAAAGTATTGTCTGACTATATATGACTTTTACTACTAATACTACTACTACTACTACTACTACTACTACTGCTACTACTGCTACTACTACTACTACTACTACTACTACTACTACTACTACTACTACTACTACTACTACTACTACTACTACTACTACTACTACTACTAAAACATTACGTCTGACTAAATCTGCATTTTACTACTAAGACCAAAAATAGAAAATTTTCAAAATAACTGTTACGTTCGTTCGATATTGTAATATAAATTTATGATAATAATTGCTTCGTCTGACTAAAAACAGCTTTTACTACTTGAAACTTAAATTACAAGAATTTAAAATGACTAAAACTAACTCTTTCCACTAAAACTAAAAATTGAAAATTTGGAATTTTTTGATCTGATGAAAAACAACTTTTTCTACTAATTCAAAAATTGTAGGAATTGGAAAAATTATGTCTGACTAAACATGTCTATTACTACTTATTTTAACTATACTGAAACTTATAATAATAATAATAATAATAAAAAAAACAGAATTTAAAACACAGTGTCTGACTAAAACTCACATTTATGACTAAGCCAAAAAATTACATGATTTTTCAATACATTGTCTGACAAAAATTTGCTTTTACTACTAATACGAAGAAGTTACAAATATATAAAAAGTTCTATCTGACTAAAATTTGCCTTTACTACTGAGGCAAAAATTACAAGAATTTTTTAATATATTTTCTGACTAAAACTTGCTTCTACTACTTATACGAAAAAGTTATAAGAATATAAAACGTTTTGTCTGACTAAAACTATATTTTACTACTGAGAGTAAAAACATTTTATTTAAAAATAATAATTTTTACTATACTAAGAGGTAAAATAAAACAAAAAGAAAAGTATTGTCTGACTATATATGACTTTTACTACTACTACTACTTCTACTACTACTACTACTAAAACAATGCGTCTGACTAAATCTGCATTTTACTACTAAGACCAAAAATAGAAAATTTCAAAATAACTGTTACGTTCGTTCGCTATTGTAATATAAATTTATGATAATAATTGCTTCGTCTAACTAAAAACAGCTTTTACTACTTGAAACTAAAATTACAAGAATTTAAAATGACTAAAACTAACTCTTTTTACTAAAACTAAAAATTTGGAATTTGGAATTTTTTGGTCTAATTGAACACAACTTTTTCTACTGATTCTAACATTGTAGGAATTGGAAAAATTATGTCTGACGTAACATGTCTATTACTACTTATTTTAACTGTACTGAAACTAATAATAATAATAATAATAATAATAATAATAATAATAATAATAATAATAATAATAATAATAATAATAATAATAATAATAATAATAATAATAATAATAATTATAATAATAACAGAATTTAAAACACAGTGTCTGACTAAAACTCACATTTACTACTGAGGCAAAAATTACACAAATTTTAAAATACATTTTTTGACTAAAACTTGCATTTACTACTAAGCCAAAAAATTACATGATTTTTCAATACATTGTCTGACTAAAACTTGCTTCTACTACTTATACGAAAAAGTTATAAGAATATAAAACGTTTTGTCTAACTAAAACTGTCATTCACCACTGATACTAATTTGACAAAAAATTGTTTTACTATATCAGTATAAAAAAAAATCTAAAAAAGGTCTAAAAAAAATTTAAAAATAATCTAAAAATATCTTCAAATAGTCAAAAAAAAATCTAAAAATAGTCTAAAAAATGTCTGAAAAAAAAAAACTAAAAAAAAACATTGTCTAACAAAAAATTTCAAAAAATATTTTCAAAATATAACACTAGATATTTAACAGTGGCGCTATCTGTGCATAAAGAAATGTAAATTATTCTCAATCGATAATTCTAAGTTATCCTAGCAGCTTTTGGTTTGAATTCTCTCATAATCCTTGGCAGTGGCGACATCTATGAAAAATTTCTCAACTTACAAAACATTAATAACTATATAAATTTTTTAATGGTATATCCATAGAAAAATAATTCACATAATACCGACTGAAATCAATTTTAATTTTTCCTCAATTATTTACCATATGAAATAAAAATAAGAAAGAGAAACAAATTTTTTTTTATTGATTTCACATTTTTATTATAATCAACGGTATAAAATTTCTTTTTTATTATAATTTTTCAAATTATTGTACAAATAAACAATAAATTAACATTAATAGTATTAAATAGTTAATATAATAATTATATATATATATATATATATTATATTATAAAAATATTAATTTTATTTAAAAAAATATGGGAAAAAATATTTAACTCACATTTGTATATTTAAAAAAATAAATATGAAATTTATAATTTTTTAAACATGTTCATATTGATTTTTAGGATATGTGGAAAATAGATAATCGTTATCATTATTAGAAAATGTTTTTGAATTTGTTGTAATTGGCAAAATTTGTTTTGCATGAAGATTTTTTGTACCCATATGATTTAATGGTAATTGTGATTTTTCATGTAAATTATTTGTTGGCACGTATGATGGATATTTTAAACGAAATATTGGAATTGATTTTTCATGTAGATTTTCCACTCCTCGAAGTGGTTCCACGGCAATAATTACTTCGGCTTCATTTTCCTCATCGAGAAACTTTTGATCCGCATAAAGTTCAATCGGAGAGCAAAACGCTCCAATAATATTCAATAGCAGCAGAATCTAAAATCATTTTCAAAAAAAAAAAATTGTACAGAAAAATCATAATATATGAGAATTAATATTTTATTTTCAAATAAAATTCAGAAATGGTTTAAAATGATATTAAATTAATAATAATTTAATTTTTTTTTCAATTTATCTTCAATTTTTTGAATACTAATTTTTTTTTATGTTAATTATTAAATAGAATGATTAATTATTTACAATTTTTTTTTATTTTTTGTTTAACTGAAAATTTTTGTTTTAATTAAAAAAAAAAAAATTTTAAGTTTAATATTTAATAAATATAATAAGCTTGACATTTGATATATAGTAACATAAACTATTCAACTACACTTCATTGAATTAAAATAATAACAAAACGTGCTTTATTCACTGATATCAAAGTTGAACAAAACTATAGGAAATAACAATAACATTGTTTCTAATAAATATCAATATTCACTGGATATTTTCTGCTTATCATTTTCACTTTGATTTATTTACCATTAAATTAATTTTTGATTAATTAACAATAAAAAAAAAATTTAATTTAAAAATATATATTAATTAATTAAAAAAAAAAACAGAGGAGAAAATTTATAACTCTAGCTCTCACCTCGATCATGTTCCTTTGAAGATTCTCTTGTAACTATCCTCGGAATCTTCTCGATTTTATATCTATATACCAATACCGGTCTCTCTCGCTCTCATCAACAAGGATCATTTACCTTAAAACTTATTCATGAATTCGCTTCAGGCAATATATATGTATATATAAAAAGATTCAATAATTTAAAACAAAAAATAAATTATTTATGTCAATTTTTTTTAGCAAACTTAATAAAAAATCATTTATTAAAAAATAATTTTGAAAAAGAGGAAAAAATTTTTTTTTTTTCATTAAAAGACAAATTTTATTGCATTATCCTTTTTTTTCTAAAAATAAAATCTTATTCAAGAGGATTTGGTATAAAAGTTAATGTCATTATCTTTTGTGTATATGAATCTCAAATGTGAAAATGTGTGAGTGTGCGTATAATTGACACTCATTTTCCCATGAAGAGGCAAACTGAATGATATTGCGTGGGTGTTAAGAACTCACAAGTTCCTTGAACTTGCTATTTCCTCAAGGTCGATTCTCAAAGATTGTCGATTCCCGTTCAAATGATTTTGTTCCGATACCTTATTTGCAAAATTTTTACAAAAAAAAAAATATATATATATATTAAACTCATGCAAAATTAAACCTCTTAAAATTTTTTTTTTAATATATTAACATATATATTCGATAAATAATTTTTTTAAAAAATTTTTTCGACAAAATGTAAAAATTAATTTGCAGAAAAACTTAATTGTAATTTAACTGATTATAATTAAAAATTATATATACAAACAGAAAAATTTGCTAAAAAAAAAAATTTAAGAATGGATAAATAATTTTGGCCGACCAAAATTTCCTTTTTCTACTTATAAAATTAAACTTCAAATTATTCTACGGAAAATTAATTTTTTCTGACAAAATCTACTTTTTCTACTTAAAAATTAAATTTCTAGTAATACAATAGATTCTACTTAAAAATTAATTTTTTCTGACAAAATCTACTTTTTCTACATAAAAATTTAATTTCTAGTAATACAATTGATTCTACTTAAAAACTAATTTCGTCTGAACATAATAAATGTTTTCTACTTAAAAATTTAATTTCTAGTAATACAATAGATTCAATTTAAAAATTAATTTTGTCTGACAAAATCTACTTTTTCTACTTAAAAATTTAATTTCTACTAATACAATAGATTCTACTTAAAAACTAATTTCGTCTGAACATAATAAATGTTTTCTACTTAAAAATTAAATTTCTAGTAATACAATAGATTCTACTTAAAAATTAATTTTTTCTGACAAAATCTACTTTTTCTACATAAAAATTTAATTTCTAGTAATACAATTGATTCTACTTAAAAACTAATTTCGTCTGAACATAATAAATGTTTTCTACTTAAAAATTTAATTTCTACTAAAGCAAAACATTATTCTACTTAAAACTAATTTTGTCTAGCCAATTTTTCTAATGAAAAACTTAATTTCTACTAATAGAACAAAATTATCAACTTAAAACTAATTTCGTCTGACAAAATCTTTTCTTTTTCTACTTAAAATTTGCAAAAATTTACTAAATTTTTTTTTTTAATGAAATCTAACTTTTTTTCTACCCAAAAAAATTTTCTACCTTAAACAAATAATATTAAAAAGAAAGTAAAAAAAAAAATTCTGTACTTGAATAAATGATCCATTATCACTGGAAAACATAAAATTTCATAAATCATGAGAATTAATATCAAAAAAAAAAAAAAAATTCTCAAAACCAGTGAAATTGGAAGAATAAAATTTTTTTGTGACGTTTTCGAGAATCAATTTTCGATTCACTTTGTAGTGTATAGTCGTCTTCGTCGTCGTTCATGACGTGTATGGTAAATATTATTATTTTGCAAGCCAAATAAAATCGACAAGAATAAATCGATATTTAAGCCGAGACGCATATATATATATATATATATATATATATTTACATGAGATTTTTTAGCAGGTCTTTTGAAACTCTCTTTGATGACGTACGTTACTTATGGTGATTTAATGCATTTACGTTTACAAAGTGTGTATACGCGCAAATTTCATTATTTAACGTTATATATACATTTCAGATATTTATAACAAAATGTACTTAGAATTTCACAATTTTTTTTTTTTTACTATGAAAAAAAAGAATTAGATTCAAATATTTATTATTGCAAAAATTTTGAGAATTTAATTTCTATAAACTAATTACTGAGAAATTTTTTTTTTAAATTAATAAACACTAAATATATATATATATATATATTTTTTTTTTTTTTGAATGAAAAGACGGAGAAAAAATTGACACTCAATAAACTTGAATGACTTTGTCTTTAGAATATTTGATTGTCTTTTTTTATTATAGAACTGTGACCCGAGATTTTATCGATATATGTACAACAAGAAATAACAATGGCGAGGTTGCGATTTTGTACTTACTTTTTTATTTATTTACCTTGACGTATCATTAAGTGACGCGATGATGTAAAATGCTTCTATTCATAGAAATTATCGAGTACCTGTAAGATAATGCTAAACGTAGTTTTATATACATTAAAAAATAATAGGGCATTTATCATTCTTGAATCGATAGTTAAGATTTTTAAATTTCCCTTATATTTTTAGAAGTGCCGTTATATAGAATATATATATAACTTTCTATGTACTTGAAAAATAAATATCTTTATATTCAATGTGACAAAAAAAGAATTAAATAAATATTCTTTTTTTTCAAAGATAAAAAAAAAATTATAAAAGTGAAAAAAAAATAAAATCTAATTATGTTCAATATAAAATTTATTGTTTAATATTATACAAAATAAATTTGTTTATATTCTTTTAATACTTTTTACTATCTTATTGTATACAGAGTGAAATTATTTTACCCTTTTATAATAAAAAAAAATATATATATATATATTTAAAAATTGACCACAATTATTTTTTTAAAAATCATTAATTAAAATCGAAATTACAAATAAATAAAAGTTAAATAACATTCCTTAGCTCAATGATTAAAAATTCAAAATAAATAAAAAAAAAAAATTAACTTTCGTCAAATTTTTTTCTTTCTACTCAGAATTAGAAGAATCATCATTAGGATAGCAACTGGAAGCAGATGATGAAATTGACTCGTTACAATTTGAACAAGAACAACTGCCACTATATTCACTGTCATCAGATGATTCAGAATCATCATTACAACATGAACATGAGCACTCCGATAAACAATCACATTCAGTGCATTGACATACATCTGATGAATTTGTTGAAGTTTCATCATTATCATCAGAATTTGATTCTTGTTGTTCATCCATCTTAACTGATTTTAAATTAATAATAATAATAATATAACAATAACAATAATAATAATAATAATAATAATAATAATAATAATAATAATAATAATAATAATATAACAATAATAATAATAATAATAATAATAATAATAATAATAATAATAATAATAATAATAATAATAATAATAATATTAATACAAAAATAAAACTCACGATATTGTTTTAATTCTGGATTAGAGCTCAAATCGAGTGTTTTTAATTGTTTAAATAAATATTTATTAACTTTCATCACTGCTTTCATCATTTTTTTCTCATAACGTGCTTCTCTTTGTTTACGTAAAATTTTCGAATTTATATCATGTTTTGTTTTTTGAGTCCTTTTTACTTCATTTTTCTCTGAGGGGGAAAAAAAATCATAAATATTTTGATTTTAATAAAAAAAAAAAAAAATTTTATATAGAAAATAATTTTTTAATATAATAATTGTTATTGCAAATGAAAATTAATTAAAAAAATGTTATTAAAAAGTTAAAAAAAATCTTTCATATTTAAAAATTAAATTTTATCAATTTTTTGACATTAATTTAATTTGATTTTGAATTTGATGAAAATTTTAAAATTCAAATCACATTTTACTTGTCTATAACAAACCTGAATGGGATTTAGGAGAAATAGTCATATTTGATAATGATTCTGTAATTTCCGCAATATTATCATTTATTTTATCTTTAGATGAAGATGCCTCGACAGTTGTTTCCAAATGTTCATGAATTTTTTCAGAATATTCAAAATTTTTTTGTATATTTAACAAATCTGATTCATAATTTTTTATTTTTGATATAATTTTCTTCTCTTTTTTAATTTCTTTTTGATTCAGTAAAATCACTTCTTCATTATTATCGGGAGATTTTTCAATTTTTTCTTGCTCTAAAATAATTATATTCAAATTAAAAAAAAAAAAAAAGAAATTAATTAATTAATAAAAAAAAATGTTTTTAAGGAAATTTAATATTTATTTAAAATTTTATTTTAACGTACCAAAATGTGAATAAGAATTATTATAATTGCCATTTAATGACTCATTAATAATTGTTTTCTCATTATCATTTTCATTATCTTCAAATGATAACTCATCAATTGTATCCAAAGTTGCTTCTAAATATTCGTGAGTTTTTTCAAAATATTCAAAATGTTTTTGTATTTTTAAAGAATCAGATTCATGATTTTTTAATTCTGATATCATTTTATTCTCTTTTTTAATTTCTTTTTGTTTTAGTAAACTCTCTTTATTGTTTTCAGATTTTTCAATTTTTTCTATTTCTAAAATAAATTTACAAATTAAAAAAAAAAAATTAAGGAATTATAATTAATTAAAATTTTTTTAATAATAACTTTCTTTAAATTAATTTAACATACCTGAATGTGAATTAGAATGATTGTAATTGAAATTTTCATTGATTATTTCTTCATTATCATTTTTATTTTCTTCAAATACTGACTCCTGCTGTTGAATTGAATCCTTTTTAAATTTATCATGAACTTTTTTCAATTTTTTTTCTTTTTTTTCTTTTTTCTCCTTTTTCTCTTTTTTCTCTTTTTTCTCTTTTTTCTCTTTTTTCTCTTTATCAATTTGATTTTTATCATTATCTTCTTTTTGTTTCTTTAAAGTTTTTTCACTCTTCTCTGTTTTCGATGTTGACTGTTTTTTAATTACTTTCTTTTTTACAGCGCCCAATGATTTATCATTAGCATTTTTTTGAGAATAAATATTTTCCTTTTCGATATCATCATTTGACATCAATAAATGACGAGTTACTGTTTTTTTTGTTTCGTCATATTTTTTTTTATTTTCAATATTTTTAAAAATTGATTTATTGAACGAATCAGGTGACTTGATTTTTTTACTTTTTATATTTGTGCAAAAATCTTCTAAATCAGACTCTTCAATATCAAGGGCAATTTTAAATTGTAGATAATCATTTTTTTTAAACATTTTCCTCGTAACACTTGATTCTTCTTTTTGAGAATTCATGTTTTTTTTTTAAATAAATAAATTTAGTAATTAATATAAATAAATAAATAAATAAAAAATGTAAAAATTTGCAAATATTCCAAATTATTTTAACTAAATTTCTCAATTACTTTCTGATTTCAATTACTTTTACTGACTAATAACAGAAAATTAAAATTCCTTTTATTTGCCCACAGAAATTAATTGTAAATATTATGGGTGTTATTCAAAATTTTTCTCTTATGAAATAGTGACGTTATTATACGTCACATAATATGGATTTTATATAATAGTTTAAGAATTTATAATTCTTTATTTTTTTTTATCATTCTCTAACGTCACATTTTTCAAAATCAATGCAAATTGAAGCAAACAGGTGGAATTTTCCACCTGTTTTATAACATGCATTTTTTTTGTCATTTTTTTTTTTTTTTTCATTCTTTATTGACGTCATCTAACTATGAATGAAATTTTGTTGTATCAGTAGACTATGATGTGATACATTTCTTTTTAATTCATTTTATTATTCTTTCAAGTTGGGAAAATTTCTGATAAAAATTCCCCCCCCCCAAAAAAAAAAAAATTATTCTTTTTGATAAAAATTTTTCCAAAGCCCTATATTATTTTTTTATAAGGAATTCTTTCTACTCTCTCAAAATGCTTTGATTTTTAATTTTAATTATTTTTATATAAAAAAAAAACAGGGAATTTTATATCAAATACAATTTTTTTTTACAAGACTTTTAAACTGTATTTGAAATCTACTAAATTTGAAATTCATGACTTTTTTTTATAAGTATTCTTTGATAACTTTCGATTTTGAAAACATTTATTAATATAAAAAAAATATTATTCTTACTCAATATTTTTATATAATTTATTTAATGTATAACAATTAAAGATTTAATAACAAATTGTTTTTTAAATTTAAATTCTTTTACATAAAATAAATAAAAAGTAAATTTTTTGTTTATAAACATAAATTTTAAATGAAAAATAAATTTTATTACAAATTTTAAAGTAAATTCAAATAATTGAATTGAAAATGATATAGTCAATATTTGTAAAATTCATTGGATGTTATATAGACAATAAATTGAATGTAACATTCAATATATATTCTGTTGACATTTTTCCTAGTATAAAATGTATTTCTTTGAAACGTGGGCTTTTGAAAAAAAAAAAATCTAAGTTTAATAATAAACAAAACAATACTTCAAACATAATTTGAGACATATTCATAGAAAAGTGACGTCAACGATTAAGAATTGGCATATATTGTCGATTATAAACTGTAAACTTTTTGTGAATAACAAAAACTGTTCCGATGAAATCGATAGTGTTTAAAATTTTGCTTTCCAAGCAAAAATTCGATTTTTTAAAATTTACTTTAACAATAATTCAATTTTTAAATTGATTTTTTTTTTTAATATTTTGAAAATTTTTTTATGTTATTTCAAAAATGTCAACAATTTCCATACATAGAAATATATAGAATTTGAAATATAATGAACTTTAAAAAAAAAAAAAAAATTATGTGTCTGCTTTCTATTTAAATAGTCGATTGTGGATATTAACAATTCGATTACCTTCACCTACTCTTTGAAAGGTCTCTCTCAAGAAGTCGAGTTTTCTTTTTTTTTAAAAAAAAGGTCTTGAGTTTTTTTTTCATAAAGAACAATGCAATATACAATAACTTATTTTTATTTACCAGGTCAAAATAGATGAAATAGAAGATATTTATAAATATCCATTGATAGTGAAAATTCAAAAAAATTATATTTCTGAAAATTTCAATAATAATTAATTTAAAAAATTTGCAATTACATTAAAATTATATAATTTAATTTAATTATTATTTACTAAACAATTTGATTATTTAATTATTGAATAATCTCACAGGTTAATTAAAAATTAATTTAAAAAATTAATATTTTTTTTAATTATTTAATAATTAATTTAAAAAAAAAATTAATGTTTTTGTTTAATTAATTTTAAATTATACACGGGAATAATTAAAAAATATTTCTATCTCATACTTGTCAATAAAATTTTGTTTGACGTTTTTCATTCTTTTAATCAAGTTATGTTTACTTCATTCTAAAAAGTGAACGCCCACATTTCAGTTATACGGATATTATTCATCATTGTTCTACAAAGTATTGATTTTCATTAAAATCTTCTCATACCATATTTTCATTATATATATATATATATATATATATATATATCTATATATATATATATATATATTGTTATTCTTTTTCATAAAGAAATTGTAATTTTAAACGTCTCATAATGTCAAAGTATAATTCATTATTTCCAGTTTCTATTTTTATAATTAAATAAAATACACGAAACCAAATATAAATATATATTTGTGCAAATATATTACGCTAGAAATAAATAATTTTTTTTTACAATTCTTAAAAAAAACTTTTAAACGAAATATAAACAAATAATAAAAAAAAGTTGCAAAAATTTTTTGGAAAAAAAAAATAGAAAGTTGGTTAAAATAAATTACTAAAAATAAATTTCTAAAAATAAATTATGTTAAAAAAACAAAATTTTCATTCAATTAACTATGTATATATTTAAAAAAAAAAATTTGATAAAGAAACTGATTATATTATTATATGTTTAACAAGAATAAACATTGTATATATATATATATATACATATATATATATATAATATGGTGAATATTTTTTTAATCTCTTTTTAAGTGTTTTTTCACTGAAATAAGTGGTGTGTTTTTATCACGTAGCGACACTGATTTTCCACCCCTTATGAACCACGACTGCGCGACATCAGACTCTATATAAAAGCTTTCAGGAGGCGTCGCGACGCTCCAGACGCGAATCACGCGTGTTGGTGAAAATGTAACCGCGTTACGTTAATTCAGCATAATCTGTGATTAATCGCTGTTATCAAATAAAATAAAATAAAAATTCTCAGTGAGAAAAAAAAAAACAAAATAAATGACTTATAAAACGTGCCAAAGTGAACGATAATTTTTTTTTAAAAAAGTGAGTTTTTTTTATGCAAAAAAAAAATCTCAAATAAAAATGTAAACAACCAGGGGATGATAGTTGCCACTATATTAACATCTCCCATTAAATTCTGTGCCAATTATCAAAAAGAGATTTTCACCTGTGCTTCATCATTTCTTTTTCAATTGAAGGTAATTTTACAAAATTATTTTCAATTTTCTTTTTCTTTTTTGCTTTTCTTCTTTTACGAATAAAATTTGTTTTCTCCTGATAATGTATTATAATTCCATTTAATTATTATTAACTACATTATGATAATTATAATTAACAACAATTAAATTTATTTCTAGTTCTATATATATATAGTACTAATTTCATTTTTCTTTACGATATAAACGATAGTAATTTCCTATGGCCTATTAACACGAAACCCTCGTTTCGCATGTTTCAATATTTGAATACCATATTATTTCTATTTGCAAAATAATTATATTAAAACTTTTTATATAAAACAATCTAAAATATATTTAACTTATTGAATTTGAATTATAAAATGAATATTTAAATTCATTTTTGAAAATAAACATTTCCTGAAAAGAACAATTTATAGATAATGAGAAATTTAATATTTATGATCTTATGACCTATTATCTGTTGGACAAGAATAGTATATAATTTAAATTAATTTTTTAATTCCCTGTATTATTAACATTCTTCATTTAAAACGAATTTTATAAAATTATTTAATTTATTTCTAATTTTTTAGAAAATAGATTATTTTTTCAATTAAATAAATAAATTTTTTTTAATTAAATTAATTTTATACAATCAATTAACTTAGTTTTAATTAAATATTTTCATTTATAAATATAATGTAATGTAATTTTATCCTATTACTCCTAATTAATTAAATCATAAAATGTTTATAAAATTTTTTTTTCCATTTTTTTATATGGTAAAACTATATTTAACATAATATTTTTAATTTAAAATAATTGAAAAACATTGTTACAATGAATTTGGCTTAAGTGGAATTTACGATCAATTTCGGTTTTTTTTTTTTACATAGGTTCTTCTTACAAATTAAAAGAGAAAATTTCTTTCTTAATTGCTGATATTTTATCACTTTTTTCATTTTTAGGTAACAAATATTTTTTTCTCTCATGGCTTAATAAGAAATAATAGTTAATGTCAAAATAAAAATTTTAATTTATAAATTTTCCTTTTTTTTTATTTGACAATTTATTTTACATACGTGCGTTATTAAAATCCAAAATGAAAATAAATTATCAATTATTATCAAAATAGAAAAATTTTATTGGTACATAAATATTTTTTTCAAAACCACAAAAATTGAGTACAAATTTTTTTTATTTGTTTCATTTTTTTTTTCAAAGCAAACTATCCAAAATGCTTACGTGCCAAAAAATAAAGCGTGCGAAAATAAAAATGTTTGTTTTAGACTTCAATATGAGTCACATATTGAAATTTACAAAACTTTTTTTTTTTTTAAAAAAAAAAAGAATTGTAATTTAAAATTGTGAATCGATAAAAATAACGACTAGTAAGTGGGTATTGTCAAGTTTATAAATCATCATAAAGGATCTCGGTCATTTTTCTATTATTACATTTTTGATTCAATAAAGAAAAACATTAATAACATTTACGAAAAAGCATCTCTCAATTAAAACAATAAAATATCTTTGCATTGCAATTTTTTAAAACAGTAAAGTGAAAAAAATCAAATCACTTGCCAAAAAAAAGTGCTAAAATTGAAAATTTAATTTTTTTCAACCCTTTCAAAATTCAATGAGCTGAGATTAAAATTAAGTTTTACTTTTTGCTTTTTCAAATTTATAAACAAAAATTCAAAATTACTTTTTTCCATTTTGATCAGTTTTTTAAAATGTTTTCTTTAATGAGATTTTTAATGGTTTTTTTTTCTTTTTTAATTTTGTTTTAATATTTTTATCATCGTTTTATAAATTCCTAATAATAGTCAGAAAAAAAGCAAATATATTTATGCAAAGCAATTTATTATGCGTCATATTTTTTTATACATACCCTTAAAAAGATATGCAAATAAAATATTGAGTGAAAATTGCAAGTGTGAGGGCGTGTGTATGTTAAATTTGTTCAGAAAATCATTTTTGGCGGAAATCCAGCCAGGCGCTGAACTGCCAAAGAAATTATCGATCGACGCACGTCCTTTCGCTCGACACACCTCGTAAATCCTTTTAAACTTAACGATCTTAGATTAACGATCTTTGCAATTTAACCGCATTTTCCTCCAAAAACCAACAATAGGGAAATTTACACCATGCATAATTATTTAAAAAAAAAAAAAAAATTTCGATTTAAAAAGAAAAACATAAACTTTTTACTAAAATAAATTTATTATCAAAATTTAGTATTATATATTTTTGAATTTTTTTCAAACTTACTTTATGATTATTTTAATATTATTATTATTATTATTATTATTATTATTATATTTATTACTATTATTATTTAAAATTTTTTCAACAACAATTTAGTTTTAATATTATTGATGAAAATTTAATTTTCCAAAATTTTTTTGATACAATTTATTGCAAAAATTTTTTCTAATTAAAATTTATCCTTTTGCTAGAATAAAAATTTTTCTGCCAATGTTGGTCAAAAAAAAAATTCTATACAATTTTGTATATAGTTTTATTTAATATTATTTATTTTTAATTTATTTTATATAAAATTAAAAAAAAATTGCTTTATTATAAAAATTTATTTTTTGATAAAAATTATCAACAAGTTTTTATTTTCAAAAATTAACAGGACAGACAGACATCACTTACAATGAATTAATAAATTTCCACATGATCTTGTTATAAACGTATCACGTGCTATTATACATTAACATTCCATGTGACAAAATTTATTTTTGTATTTTGTTGCATAATTTATATATTGATTCATATTATTATTTCTTTCTGCGATAACTGAATTTGAATTTGATTATATTTTTTCTGACGTCATATTTTTATATCTCAAGTGCAAAATATTGTTAATCGATAAATTGTATATTTTTCCACATAAATAATTTCTTTCTTTCTTTCATTTAATGTTATATAACTTTTTGTCAATTATTATCGAGACAATAGAGAAACTATTATATATATATATATATATATATATATATATTACGATTTACAGTTGAATGAATCCTTTAAAAATGAGAATCAATATTGGCGAGGAAACGACAAACTCTCCCATATTGTAAAGCGTAAGCAAATGACGTATATATCCATGACGTAATTCACCATCGACCTTCTCGCAAGCTTAATTATTATCAACGTGAGAGCACGAGTCTCTATGGCGATTATGCGTATATAATATACATTAGGTCAGATGAGAATCAATGAACCTTATAAAAAATGTCGATATATCACTTTTACCCTTATAATATATATATGCAAAATACCTTCACCTCAAGAAAAGCTCCAAATGTCAAGGATCACACTTGTTTCTACTTTTATTTCTCTCATTTTCTTATTTCTCCATTCTTTTTTTTTTTTTTTTTTTTTTTTTTGCATTTATTTTCCATCGTTCTATTTTTCCATCATTCAAGACTCATTGCCGATATATATATATTAATTTAAAGAGAAAAACTAATTTTTTTCTTTCGTTCCATTTTTTTTTCAAGATTCATTGCTGATATATATACTAATTTAATATATTATATTATGTGCCCTCGCTAAGACAATAAGAGGGTGGAAAAAAAAAACTAAAGAAACCTTTTCTATTTATAAGTAGGTAAAACCCATTATATATGTTTGAAAAATAATTGCAAATTTTCCAATGGGTTCTCTAATTAAAGTGATAAAATCAAATTTAAAAAATGGTGTAATATTCCCAGAATTTTTTTTTCCAGTTTAAATTTTAAAACAATCAAATTTTAATTGAATCATTCAAATAATTGATGGAACGCAAAAAAAAAAAATATGCTCTATAATTAATTAGAATTGATATATGTTACAAATTATTCAAATTTTAATTGATTTATGTTTCAAATTGTTCAAATTTTTATTGTTTTGAGTTCAAAATTAAGAGAATTTTAATTTGTACACATTTTTTTTTACTAATTTCAGTTTCTGATTATTCAAATTTTAATTGATTTAAGTTTCAAATTATCCGAAATCATATAGTTGCCATAGCAACCGTTATCATAGCAACGGTTTCTATAGTAACCGTTTTCATAGTGACGGCTTCCATAAAACGGTTTCCATAGCAACGGTTTCCATAGTAACCGTTTCCATAATAACCGTTTCCATAGTAACCGTTTCCATAGCAACGGTTTCTATAGCAACGGTTTCTATAGCAACGGTTTCTATAGCAATGGTTTCCATAGCAACGATTTCCATAGCAACTGTTTTCATAGCAACGGTTTCCATAGCAAAGGTTTCCATACCAATTGTTTTCATAGCAACGGTTTCCATGGCAACCGTTTCCATAGAAACGGTTTTCATAGTAACGGTTTTCATAGTAACCGTTTCCATAGCAACGGTTTCCATAGCAACGGTTTCCATGGCAACCGTTTCCATAGCACCGGTTTTCATAGTAACCGTTTCCATAGCAATGGTTTCCATAGCAACGGTTTCTACAGCAACGGTTTCTATAGCAATGGTTTCTATAGCAATGGTTTCCATATTAACGGTTTCCAAAGCTACGGTTCCATAGCAACGGTTTCCATGGCAACCGTTTCCATAGAAACGGTTCCATAGCAACCGTTTTCATAGCAACGGCTTCCATGGTAACCGTTTCCGTAGCAACGGTTTCCATAGCAACTATTTTCATAGCAACGGTTTCCATAGCAATGGTTTCCATAGCAACTGTTTTCATAGCAACCGTTTCCATGACATCCATTTCCACAGCAACTGTTTCTATAGCAACCGTTTCCATAGCAACGTTACCATGGAAACCGTTGCCATGACAACCGTTACTATAGCATCCGTTACTATGGCAACCGTTGCTATGAAAAACGTTACCTCAGAAGGAATTTTTCACATAATTCATTAATTTTAATAAATTTTCTAGTATCAGGAAAATTGAAAAATTTATTCTTGTACCAATCATTAATTTTTCTTTAAATTCGTCGTTTTAAGAATTTTGTTGATACAAACCAATAAAAATTCCGCTAGTCTATAAAATGAAAATTCGTTTAAGTAACAATTATCTAATATAGAAATTCGGTTTAATGGAATTTTTTGCTAAAAATTTGATGAAATAAAAATTCTTATTAAAATAAATAAAATAAATTGCTATAATTGTTAGTCAAACTTTCGGTTGAAACTAACAAAAGTTTATTTGGTTTAGTAAAATTATTCCTTAGTTTGATAAATTTTATTAAAACCAAAAAATTTAGATTAAAATAAATATTTGAATTGAACAAATTTTGTTTGTTAACTAAAAAATTTTTTTTTCTAAATGTAATATAATTTTTAAAATTTCTTTTTATTTTCTTTGTTTCAGATGAAGCTTCACGAGAAAAAAGAGTCAGCAATTCATAAAGTGCAAGAAGTTGCACTTAATGAAGTGAATTTAACAATTGAATATGATGTTGAAAAAAATCTTGGTGAGGGTAGTTTTGCAAAAATTCTACTTGCAACACATCGTAAAACCCAAACAAAAGTAGTATTAAAAGCCGTTCATCGTGAATTAACAACGGAAAAAGAATTTTTCCGTGAATTTCATTATTCCTATCATTTAAGTCCCCATCCAAATATACTTAGTTCATACGCAGTTGCCTTTAGAGCGGAAAATTGTTATGTTTTCGCTCAAGAATATGCACCATATGGCGATCTTGCTGGTAATGTTAAAGCAGGTGGTTTAAATGAAGATGTTTGTAAAAAAATAGCAACACAATTATCATCAGCATTAGATTTTCTTCATTCAAAACAATTGGCACATCGTGATGTTAAATTAGAAAATATTCTTGTATTCAATCAAGATATGTCAAAAATAAAATTATGCGATTTTGGTTGTACAAAACGTGAGGGTACACTTGTTAATAAAATCACTTGTACATGGGTACAATTTTTACCACCTGAAATTCATGAAGTTATTAAAAATGAAAGGTACACTTGTAAAAGAAGTGCCGATTGTTGGCAATTTGGTATTGTTTTATTTGTCTGTTTAACTGGTAATCCACCATGGCAATCAGCAGTACCAATTCAAGATCCTGATTATAGTTCATTTCAACGTTGGTTAAAAACACGTCTCAATGTACCATCTTCATTTCGTCGTTTTACACCGCGTTTATTACGTTTTTTTCGTCGTATTTTTGAACATAAACCCGATAAAAGGCCACAAGTTACGGAAATTAATAAATATATTAAAGATGCATGGTTTATTAATAAAATTAATCATAGTGCAACATCAACGTCAGTTGATGCTAGTGATAGTTTTATGAAAAAAGGTGAAAGCCTTATGTATTTGGATACAATAATTGATGATCGTCATAATGTTGATGAGAATAAAAATAAATTACGAAAACTTCTTAGTAGTTATGGCCTTGAAACGACTGTCGATCAAAAAGTCGTTACCAAACGAATTTGGGAATGGGTTATGCAATGTGAAACGCATGTTGGTGATATGGGACTAATTAGTGGTTTTGGCACTGATAATATGTGAAAAATAATTAAATCTTCAAGTGAACCATGTCTTACGACATTATCAACAACAACAACAATAATAATGAAAAAACGAAATTTTCATCAAGTGGGCAATGGCCTACATTATTCATTTGTTGCCAAATAATACTCAAGAACCTGTGATCTCTCATTAATTTTATCTTTATGTATTATTACTATTATTATTTTTATTATTATTATTATTATTATTATTATTATTATTTTTATTGCCATTTATCAAACAAATATAATATTTAGTCATTTTTTTTTCTTTACATTGATGATGCTAATTGAAATTAATGTTAAAAATATAAAATTTTATTTAGCACACAAATAAAATTGAAATAAAATTTATTTTAAACAAAATATTTGACTCTGAGAAAAGAAATATTTATTTTCTCTAGTTTTACAAATAAGTGAAAAATTAATAAAATAAATTTTATTTCTTTAAAAATTCTCATAATTAATTTGTTAGCCATTTGAGCTAGTAGTGACAATAATCTTCCAAAAACTAATTTACGACTCACTGTCATTACTTATAATATAATATTTAATATAAAAATTTGTCTCTTTTCTAGAGACATCGATTAGTTTATATCAAATTTTAATTTTTTTTTTTTTTTTTGAATAAAAAAAAGAAATACCAAAAAATCGTAAATGTTCTGAGAATTGTTAATTGTCTCGGATTATATATAAAAATATATTTATAAAGTTTGAATGTATGTGTGTATGTCTTCAAACGAACGAAATGAACGAAATAATTTATATATATATATAGATCTAGAAGTAAATGTATAATTGAAAAAAAAGAATGTATCAAAGAATGAAAAGGGATAAATGAATAAAATAAATGAGGAAATAGAAAAAAAAACCCGTAAGTGTGAAAAAATGTATACAATTACATATTATTCTTGTAGAAAAATTATATATACGTAAGGTACAAAAAAAATCCTACAGAAAAAAAACAACTAATTAAAAATTCTATTTCAAAAAAATAGGAAAAAAATTTGAAATATAATTTTTTAATTTTTCCTTTCGTGATATATTTAAAATGTGAATATATTAATTTATTGAAACTAAACGTCGTTTAAGATAATGATTATTTAAAAAGACATTGCTTTTATTATCGAGATAAAAATAATCATTATTATAATATATATATATATAAAATCATTTCCAATAGATATTATAAATAAAGTTTTATCAAATTATTATAATTTCATTGAACGCGAATTAAATTAAAAATTAATAATAGTTTATTGAGAATCAACATTGATGAAAAGTAAATCGTGGTTTTAATTAGAAATACTATTTCATTCTGTATTTTTGTTTCTTTATGTAAAAAAAAAAATAAATTTTCCTTTCACCCATTTTTCAATTTAGGAAAAAAAAGTTTATAAAACTATTATAAAAAAAAAGACTTAAAAAAATTTGTCAGTAAAATATTTTTGAAATCTATATATATACATGTATATTTAATTCCTTGGGTCCAAGAACTGAACAAATTTAAGGAAAGACAAGCTTTATAAAAAAAAAGAAGTTGGAAGACTAAAATAAAAAAAAAAAAAACCACACGACGTTGAGTTTCAATCATCGTTGTTTTCTGATGATAAAATAAAATCCTTCAGTCCTGATATGTAATTGGATATGTAAAAAAAAAATAAATTAATAAAATTGTAAAAATGAAAATTATAAAATTAAGGACTAAAGGAAAACGAAAACCTCGTTAATTTGTTGTATATTTAAAAAAAAAATAGATTTAATGTTATTATGTGTATAGAATTTTGTGAAACATTATACATTTTCATAAACAATATATAAATATAGGAAAAACGTCTTTCATTTTATTTTACAGCATTTTTAAAATATTTTTTTATTACAGCTAAGAAACTAGTTTATTAAAAAAAAAAAAAAATCACTTATTGTACCGACACAAAATAATATTTGAGATCTAGTCAAAAAGAAATTTTTTTTGTGCATTTCTTTTTAGACAAATTCACGCCTTTTTCGTTTTTTTTCAAATTAACTTTTCTTTTTTTTTTTTAAAGAAGTATACACACATACACACGCAATGGTGACTAAAATTATATAATATTAATTACCGCAAAAAATATTTGTATTAAACTTTTTGAATGTGTCGACATATCTTTCTACATTTTTCTACATTTACAAAATATATATGAAATTATAATTTTACGACACATGGAAAAAAAAAAAAATTATAACAGCGATTCCAAAAAAAATATATTGTAATTTGTAATCCTAGAACACGTGATATTGACGCTAATCAATCACCGAAAATTTTTTGTCAATGCACGAACCCACGAATAAAAGATGCAAAAAAAAAAAAAAAATTACGGTTATAATATTGCATAATAATATTTTGTATATAAATGAAAATAAACATTGATATTGTACAAAATGTTCATTTTTCTATTTTTCCTTTCTCGTGAAATTTTTTTTCTTCTATCCTTTCTTTTTATAGTATAAAAATAAATGAAATTATTTCTAATTAGAAAAAATTAAATTAAATAAAAAATGAATTATTATTTCTTTATGTGAGATTTTTAATTAAATATTTAATTTTATATATTAAATTCTAAAGCCATTATAGTTAATGTTATAATTGAACTAGAATTTGTGCCCTGAAGAGACTTTTGAGCTTGCTAGAGTTTCATATTGTGTGCTAAAGCTATCAACATCCGTGGGTGGTTGTTTCCAAGGAAACACCTACAACCCGGATGTACCCCCTTTTGAATAGCAGGCAAGTTTGCTAAATTTTACAAAATAGTTTCTATGGGTCAGTTCTTTTATAAAAAAAAGTTTTTGAATTTTGCCCTAATTTAATTTTAAAAAAATTTACTTACAATTACTATATTAATACATAGTAAAAGAAAATATTTAATCTTCAAGTTTCTTAGAAAGAAAAAAAACAAATAAAATTGATTGAAATTCTTTTTTTTTAAATTACATTTTGTAATTAATTTGTAAAATAATAATTTTCGTTTCATTAAAAGTAAAATTTTGGAAAACAAATTAAAACTACTATTGTAGGTGTTACAAAAAAGCTTCATTTAATTATATTTAATCACTGAACACTCAAGCTGACCCAGCTTCATGTATGTAAGCTTTACTTTAACCTTGAACAGTGGCAAAAAGCTTTATGAGCTTAATCTACCCACTTTTCCTCTAAATATCGTGTGTTTGAAAATTAATTAAAATTGTTGTATTATAGTTTTAATTTACTAAGTTTTCGTCAATTAAAATTTTTTTTTTTTATCATTATAATAATAAAAAAAATTAATTTTTTATAAACTACCTTAATTTATTTAAAATAAATACTAAAAGAGACTAAAAAATGTTCATTTTCAAGGATAATGATTTCGTGCTTAAGTAGAAGAATTTTTCTTTTACAGAATTGATTAAATTCAAGAAAGCTCACTATTCAGGCACAATTTAGGATAAAAATAGAGGGGAAAAAATTAGAACAAGCAATTAGAAATCCAAAGAAAAAAATAATTATTATTATTAATTATTATCAAAATAAAAAAAATTAGTCTTTTCCTCTTGAATTATGATATAAAAGATCTATTGAGAAAGTAGAATTACAATTTTTATAATAAAAAAAGGAATTTTCCGAATCAATAATTTTTTTTTAATGCCAAAAATACATATGGCTATATATAGTGAAACTAAAAATAACCCTCAATGTTTTAAGGGAAACCCTTATTTTCTTGTATTTTTTTTTTATATTTGCCTCGAGCAATATCCTCCCAAATATAGAAACAATTTGCTTTTCTATTTAATTCAGGGACCTTTGATATAATTTTATTGCGTCAAAATAAAGAATGTGACCCTAAAGAATGCTGTAGAGGAAATTTTTTAGCTTCAAATATTGCCATCGAAATCAACCCCCATGTTTACGTCAAACAAAACCCTCAAACAAAAATTAAAGAAAATCCTTCAAAACTTAATCTAATTTTAGGATCGAATTTTTTTTTTTTGTCTCCCTAGTGAATAAAGAAAAAAATTATATCTAACCCCCTCTCTATTTATGTGATACTCGGAAATAATTTTCTTATAGCAATTTTTTTTTAAATTAGGCCATTAAACTAATATTCTTAAAATGAGAATAATTTTCTTTAAATAGGATTAATATTAAATTAGCAATTTTTTTTTACTATTCGTAAAATTATCCCACCATTCTTCAAATAAAACTAATCTTCTTAAATTGAGATGAATTTTCTTAAAATAGGACTAATATTCTTAAAATTAGAGTAATTTTTTTTTTTTGTAAATACCATACTATTTGTAAAATAAGATCAGTATTCTTAGAATAAGAATAAAATGCATGGAATAATTTCTGAATTATTTTAATTTTCAATTTAGAATATTTTACTATATGAATGATGTCTAATTATGAGCTGAATATTTTAAATCAATATTTAAAATATCTAATTTAGTATACTACAGAAAGCAAATATTGGATTAATAATTATCATCAAATTTAATTAAACGTCTTTTAATAGAATACAATAATGTATTAGTTAATTTTAGTAAGAAATTCTAATAAATTATTTCCATTACTTCAGTAATTTTTCATTGACAAGAAATCTGTTATTGAGAATATATATCTGGAAATAAATAAATCAAATGGAATAATCAATATAGTTGTATTAGTAATAAATTTCTAGATATTTTAAGAATGGTATCGCTATTTTTAAGAATTAGAAATTTATTCTTAGAAATTCAACTCACAGGTGCGTTAATTTAATCAAGATATATAATGACTGGTTAAGTTGGCCACTGAATGCGCGCAGTGCTATATCTGTCTTAAAACATATGTTCGTGTTTCCACTTTGAAATATATACCCTCAACTTCAACGAACTTTCATATACTATATATATATATATGTATTTATTTCATTAAAAATAAGTGACATTGTACGAAGGATAAATAAATTCTTCTTACAACTATTATTTTAGAGATGAGATGAGATGGACCATACAAAATCTATTTTTGATTTTATTGTATATGATAATATGATAAAAATAGAAATCATCTTTTAAAAAAATAACTATTTGACGTTCCTTTTAGTGATAAATAAATTTGGACTAAAATAAACGGAGAAAAATGGAAAAAGAAAATCATAGAAGTTAGAAAAAAAAAGTTTTTTAAGATAACTTTCTTGATTGTTGTTTTTCTACTTAAATTTTTATGTTTTTTTCCGGTGAAAGCAAATTTTTATTGATAAACAAAAATGTTTTCAAAAAAATTATTTTTTTTTTTAGAAATTGGGGTTTGTCTGACTAAACAGTACTTTTTCTACTTAAAATGTAAGTTTCCTTTTTACTAATACAAAATTTTCTACTGTAAAAAAAGCAAAAAAAAAAAAATTTCACTTACAATCTGTTTTGTTGACTTAAAAAAAATTGTTGTCTGACTAAACTTTACTTTTTCTACTTAAAATGATAATTTTCTTTTCATAATATAAATTTTTCTATTGTAAAAACTAAATAAAAGACAAGCAAAAAAGTAATTTCTTTTCTCTACTTTAAATAAAAATGTTTTTCATACCAAAATAGATTTATCTACTTAAATTTGTCTGACTAAACTTTACTTTTTCTACTTAAAATGATAATTTTCTTTTCATAATATAAATTTGTCTATTGCAAAAAACCAAATAAAAAATTTTCTCTTATAATTTGTTTTCACTACTTTAAATAAAAATGTTTCTCTTACCAAAATAGATTTATCTACTTAAAATTGTCTGACTAAATTTTACATTTTCTATACCTAAAATTTAAGTTTCCTTTTTCTAATACAACCTTTTTTACGGTTAAAAAAAAAGCAGAAAATAATACATCTTACAATCTGTTTAGTTTACTTTAAAAAAAATTGTTATCTAACTAAATAAAACTTTTTCTACTTAAAAATGTAAGATTCCTTTTCATAATACAACTTTTTCTACTGCAAAAAAACAGAAAAAACTTTTTCTGATAATTTCTAATTCTACTAAAAATAAAAATATTCTTTTACCAAAATAGATTTATCTACCTAAAATTTTCTGACTAAACTTTACTTATTCTACTTAAAATTTAGTTTTTTTTTGAAAATACAACTTTTTCTACTGCAAAAATATGAGAAATACTGAAAAAAGACGTGCAGTTTACTGAAGTTTTCAGTTTAATGAAAAAAAATTGTTGTCTGACAAAACTTTTCTTTTTCTACTTAAAATACAAGTTTTCTTTTTATAAGAAAATTTATTCAACTGCAAAAAACCAGAAAAAACTTTTTCTGATAATTTCTAATTCTACTAAAAATAAAAATATTCTTTTACCAAAATAGGTTTATCTACTTAAAATTTTCTGACTAAACTTTACTTTTTCTACTTAAAATGTAAGTTTTACTTTTATTAATGCAACTTTTTCTACTGTAAAAAAGGAGAAAAAAAATTCCTCTCGCAATGTGTTTAGTTTACTTAAAAAAATGTTGTCTGACAAAATAGTACTTTTTCTACTTAAATATAAATTTCCTTCTGATAATCCAACTTTTTTTACTTTTAATGTAAGTTTCCTTTTTCTAATACAAATTTTTCTACTGTAAAAATATCAGAAAAATATTTCACTCACAATCTGTTTAGTTTACTTATAATAAATTGTTGTCTGACTAAACTGTACTTTTTCTACTGAAAATGTAAGTTTTTTTCTGAAAATACAACTTTTTCTACTGCAAAAATATCAGAAATACTGAAAAAAGTACAGTTTATTGAAGTTTTCAGTTTACTGAAAAAAAAATTGTTGTCTGACGAAACTTTTCTTTTTCTACTTAAAATACAAGTTTTCTTTTAATAAGAAAATTTATTCAACTGCAAAATAACCAGAAAAAAATTTTCTCATAATTTGTTTTCTCTACTTAAAATAATTGTCGTACCAAAATAGCTTTATCTACTTAAACATTTGTCTGACTAAACTTTACTTTTTCTACTTTAAACACAAATTTTATTTTAACAATACAAATTTGTAAAAAAAAAAAAATTAATCTTATTTTCCGTCAAAAAATTTGTTTCCTAAAAAGGCAGTTTTCCAAAAAATCATTTAAAAAAGAAATGCTTACAAAATTTCTTTGCAAAAAAATAAAAATTCATCTAATAAAAATATCTTTATGGAATAAAAGTGACGCAATGAATTTGATGATATGAAATTACAGAAATGAAATATATTGTCAAAAAGACCTTTTCATTATAGACCTTATCTCGGTACAAGTGTGGTGCGGGTGGCGCGTATATATATATATGATGATCGATCCTCTCTCGTGGTCCAACGCCCTGAACTCTATTTTCGTCTCGCATCTCTCCTATTTATACGTCATCATACGGACAATGTTCTACTTCTACTTCTATCAGTATTTAAACC